CAGCCAGAGATGGCAAATGCTCCATTCCCCTCGCAGGTTTGTTCCAGTGATTAGACACCCTCACTGTTCAAAATGTGCCTTGTTTCATATTTGAATGTCTCTGGCTTCAGCTTCCAGCCATTGGTTCTTCTTACGCCTTTCTCTGCTAGCGTAAAGAGCCCTTTATACCTGGGATTTTCTCCCTGTAAAGGTCCTTAGACGCTGTAATCAAGTCTCCTCTTGATCTCCTTTTTGATAAACTAATCATTGAACGGCTTAAGTCTCTCTCTGTAAGGCATTTTGTCCAGGCCTTGAATCATTCAGTCTTGCATTCCTGAGTCCCACCACACCAGATTATAAGGCCTGGGGCAAACCTTTGAGAGATCTGCTCCAGCATCTTCCTCCATAACCTGTCTCCTGCCAGCGATGCATGACAAGAGGTTAGTCAGTTGCCTTCCAGAAGTGGCCACTCATTATGGACGCCTCCCTTTTGGAGGTGTCCAGCCTGAGATACCTAGGCCTGGAGCTGCATGTGCTCGGCACTTCAGGAAATCAGGCTCTGGCTGTCTCTAAAAGGATGAAGTGGAACTGGAGAAAGAGAGCCAGGCTTTGGGAAGGTCCTAGTGTGGTGGGACTCAGGAATGCAAGACTGGGTCAGGCTGCTATTCTCAGACTTTAGGGCCTCAGCAGGTAACAGCAGCCTCTCAGCATGTTTCATAAAGATCTTTTTCTTACAACTCCGCCTGCCTGCCACATCGGTCATTGCTAATGCAAATGTCTCTAGTAGGGCACCCCCAAGTACTGCCACAACCAAAATCAGTGCCCACTTTGGAGAATGTTGGCTCCGGTAGCCATGTAGCGCAGGAGTCAGATGAACTGGGAAGCCAAAGGGAGGATTTGGGCTTTTCCACTGTAGCATACGAAGAAGTGGAAGGAAGGCACCTGCAGCAGATGCTACAGGGATGGGTGCACTGGAAGTGCTGCGTTGGCTCGGAGGAGACTCATTCCACACACAAGTGTTTTAGTCACTGGCGAGGGCAGGAAGCCGAACTCCGGAAATGCAGAATCGAAGTGGAAAGTGAACTTGCCGCCAGCCAAGGCCCCCAGCACTCGGGGATCATTATGACGAAGGTGTGAGCTGGGAAGGACAGAGTGAGCTCAGCCCACCCAGCACACTGGCTGCCTCTGGAGACTCAGGGCATTCAGTTTAGAGAGAAGCATCCACTGCACTCAGCCACCCTCCTGCCCGTGGCAGGTACTCATTGACGGGGGGCCAAGTAAATACCCTCCTTTTCTTTCTGCAACTGGTTTCAGCTCCCTCCTCCTTTAGCCTAATAGTCAGCCGCCCATTGCTGCCCCCCACCTCCATCCCCGGTCATGACACTGGCAGCCATTACATTTGAAAAGGGAGCTAACGCTCAGTCTGCAGCAATAAGTATCAGTTTGGGGGAAGAGAGAGAGAATTCAAAGCCATCTGTTAAAGGATGGTTAGGAACGAGACTCTGAGGAGATGCCATTGTGGGGCTCCCAGTGAGTCTCTTCCGTTGGGGTCCAGCTCAAATCCCTTTTACAGCAGTTTTTGTTTTAAAGGATTCTGCAATCAGCGCTGAGTGGAGAACGTTGCACCCAGGGTCTGAGCCAGAATAGAATTCAGGTCACCTGCCTTGAGCTGGATTGGCTCTGCAGGGCTAACCAACATAAAATGGTTTTGTGTCAATAAAGCAGAAGTAACTGACAGACTCACTGGGAGTAGATCTAGTAAGAATGAGAGACAGGCCAGATTCTGCAGCCCTTACTCACACCGACTAGCAGGGCCGGCTCCAGGCACCAGCTTCTCAAGCAGGTGCTTGGGGCGGCCGGTCGGGAGAGGGGCGGCAGGTCCAGGTATTCGGCGGCAATTCGGCGGACGGTCCCTCACTCCGGCTCGGAGTGAAGGACCTCCCACCGAATTGCCGCCACAGATCGCGATCGCGGCCGCGGCCGCGGCTTTTTTTTGGGGGGTTTGGCTGCTTGGGGCGGCCAAAACCCTGGAGCCGGCCCTGCCGACTAGCACTTACTCAGATCCAGTGAGGGACATTTGTAAAAAGAATAAATATTTGCATGTGACTTAGACTCTTGCTGCTTCTCTGTCTCTGTCTCTGTCTCTATCTCGCTCTACATATAAAATGTATCCATGAGATTGTTTGTGGTGTCAGGTGCAATCTCAATTGTTAAACATGAGATCTGGCTGCAGTCTGTATTCTTGGAGACTGAGTGAGGGAGTGTGTGTGGGAGACTGTGTATTCTATCCTATTCTGGTTTTTGTAGGTTTTTAATACTGCACTCATCACTGTAGTATCTAGCGCAGGGGTCGGCAACGTTTGGCACGTGGCTCACCAGGGTAAGCACTCTAGCGGGCTGGGCCAGTTTATTTACCTGCCGCGTCAGCAGGTAAATAAACTGGCCTGGCCCGCTAGAGTGCTTACCCTGACGAGCCGCGTGCCAAACGTTGCCAACCCCTGATCTAGCATCTTCCAGCTATGTATTAAGCAGGGTGACTAATATTTGTGACGTGTTTGTTCTCTCATCCTCTCTCCTAGAGGAGAAGTATGTACAGTGGATTGGTTTGGAATTGTTTTATTAGATACAGTATACCATTTGTGCATTATTTCTAATTTCTATATACCCACAGATGCATATCACTCTATGTTTACATTAGAGAAGCCAAGGCCAAAGGAATGCACCTTGTCCTAGGAGTGGAAGGTTTGTGATGGTCCTTAGTTCCTGGGGGAGTTCATTCCCCCATGTTGCAAAAAGCACTGTCTCCTGCACAAATAAACTTACCTTAACTGTAGTTCCATTGTGCCAGAGGAGTGAAGTTGTCAACGTGGCAACAGGCTACCAACAGTGAGTCCTTGATCTGCAAAGCACCACACAGAGGGCTCCCAAAAGAGACTGCAAAGTTAGCATTTGATTTGATTTGTACAGATCATTTTAGTAAAATATAAACACCTGTTAGCTTTGCTGAAGTAGGAAGATTCTGTTTAGAAGACGTCCTCATTCTCCCAACCCTGCATGGCATATGGTGGCACCTGTAATGTTGTTTGCTCTGCTTGCCACTGGCATTCCATGACATTTGTAGTCAGGCATGCAATTCCATCCTTGCATGAAAAATGTTCTCCAGGTGACCTCACACATACGGTGCAGGAGAGGTTGTTCTACAAAATGGTGTCCTCCGTGCACATTCGGGGACTGGACAGAATCATCCCCTGGGCACAGCTGGCTTGGGCATGCAATGTGTGCCTTGCATACGCAGACGGCCTGCCACCATTGCTTGCTAAGATTGTTTCCCTGCCTGGAAAAAGTAAAAGGTGGAGTTTCGAGGGTCTGAGTGATTAAGATAGAAGTTTGGTGTGTCGAAGGATGCTAGTATAAAAGTTGTGCCCTAACGAGGAAAAGCTCCAATTGTTATTTGAGTGGGGGGGGGGGGGGTTCTGCACTGCTTTTGGATTAGTGTTAGCAGAGTTGAATAGTTAACATGTTGCACCTTCTCCAAGGTGCAACGTTGTCAAATTTACACTCTCCAGGTCGATTTCCCATGTTCTTGGCTGTCTGCTTCTCCTTCGCACGTGCTTTGCACTGGGTCTTTACACTGTGGTTTTCACCTCCATTGTTTGACACCTGCCACTGCTTCTCTATTTAATCCACTTGTAAATGTGTCTTACAGATGCCATTCTGTTCCCAGGCCACAGAGGATCTGAGTTTTGTTACAGCCCCACTCTGCTGGCTTTAGTTCAAGCCATTTAACAGCTTGTGTTTTTAGTTCTGGATGGCCCACTTCAGTTCCCGGTATGTCAGCCAAGATAGCGGCCATCACATCTGCAGGGCAGGATATGTTCTCAGGTATTCCCTTTACATCTCTATGAGCCTCCCCAGAAACTTGAATGCAAGTTTGGGATTTGGGAACAATTCCACTTAGAAACCATTTTCAATAAACTTGTGGGGTCTAGGACCGGGTCACTCCCATGGGGGCTCATCCTCTGCCCCCATTTGTCTGTTTTATTCAGCTGCTGCATCCTGTCTGCCTGCCATGTACATGGGGAGCTCTCTGGGATAGGGACCATCTTCTTTGTTACATGGGGGCACAGGGCCTGGCACAATAGATCCCTGGTCTTTGCTTGGTTTTCCTAGTGTGACGAACTGGGCCTGTTCTTACTGGGGTCTGTGAATGCTGACAGGGGAGTGTGGCTGGGATAGTCTGCATTGGGGGATGGGATCTGCCCGAGGGCGAATACCTGAGCGTGTAACATGAGAACCCAGGAAGGGGTTGGAGGCCAGGTGACACCTTGGCCTGGGAAACTGAACAAAGGCGGTGGGAGGGGTCGCTGAAGGCAGAGTGTTGGAAGCGGGCTGGGAGGCAGAGATGGCTCTGACCCCCCCCCAAAGGGGGGTGGGCTGGGATGCCCTGGGACCCCAAGCTGGACCTAACTGAGGGGGTCCTGTGGTCTGTGCCTGCAAGACCTGTCTTGGACTGTATTCCTGTCATCCAAATAAACCTTCTGCTTTACTGGCTGGCTGAGAGTCATGGTGAATCGCAGGAAGCCGGGGGTGCAGGGCCCTGAGTCCCCCAATACTCCGTGACACCTAGATGCTACCATAATACAAACAGTAATGGTCACTGCACACATGTCTCGAGGGTGGGGGAAGGCTCCTGATCGGGCATTACTGGCAGGAGAAATTTCTACCCCAGAAAGTGACTTGCCCTCGGAGGGGCTCAGGCCGGCGGGCAGGTTGCAGAAGCTCATTGTGATGTAACGTGGGCGACCAGAGAGCAAGTGTGAAAAATAAGGACAGGGGAATGTGGGGGGTAATAGGCGCCTCTGTAAGACAAAGCCCTGGACATTGGGGCTGTCCCTATAAAATCCGGACATCTGGTCCCCCTTGGTGGGGCTGCAAGGTGACGCCAGCCCCACCCTCGAAGGGCTGTGATGTCACAGCAGTGACGTCACGGAGAAGTGACATCACAGGCGGGGGCGTGTCACCCGATGCCAGGGCCTGGGGCGGTTCGCGGCCCCTCCTCCAGCCCCGCTCAGCTGCGGCCCTCGGCTCCACGTGCTGATTCTACCCGCGCCGGAACCGCCGGCGGCGGCGCCTGGTTTCCGCGGGGACCCACTTCCCGGACGGACCCGACCCGACCCCCGCGGGACGCGGCCCGGCAGGTGAGGCCCGGCCGCCACCCCCTCGCCCCAGCCCCGCCCCATCTCCCCAGGGTGCCCTTCCCTAGCGCTCCCCCCCCGGCCCCGGCCCCGGAGTGCCTGTCCACCAACCCCCCACCTCCTCCGGGGTGCCCTCCCCAGCCCTGCCCTCA